CTGAAATCCCTTTCAGTGACCTCTGGTCCGCACAGTAATGCTAAACACACGTTTTTCACCTACGCTACATATGGGAGCAATGTTCCTCGCGTGACAATGAGGCCGGTATTTAATTATCAAAGAGGAAATTTAAGCACATTAAACGTGCACAATTTGTTTCATTGCCGCGGTGTTTTGTGCTCGTATTCGTGACTGGGAGACCACGAAACTCACAAACACTTGAGAACCCAGTTTAATTATGGGCAACCTGCCTGAATTCGAACCTGGAAGTGCAGCGGCGCTGGCACAACGCTCTGACCTCTGAGTCACCCACCTCGTGGCCAGACTTTTTCAGTGGAAAAATACTTGGCAAAGAAAAAAAAATACAGCTATTCTACGCACACTTTGAATAAATTGTTCATATTGCAGAAGTAAAATAAAAATGCCTATTTTTACTGTTCCATTTGAAGCCTATTCGCAAACTCGAGATATTTGAAAGAACGACGTATAAGATGTGACTAAATTAGTTTGAAACAACGTGAAAGTTTATTGTAAACCATTTACGAATATCCTTTAACTATGGAGTCCACGCCTTAAAAACAAATGCAAATGCTCTGCATCGTGGTTTTGACAAGAGAAGTATTTCGATTTAAAGCTTTCGTGACTGCAATGATTCATCTTCTTTGGTTCTTTCGGTAAAGTCACGTAGAATGAGAATAAAATAATAAATTGATAAAATAAAATAACACAATAATATTCTCACGACGTTTCGGCCACAACACAAGCGGCCTTCATCAGGTGAAGGGACGAGACTGTCTGGTAGGATTATATATATATATCTACGTGACTTTACCGAAAGAACCAAAGAAGAAGAGAAGTATTAAATGCAGGTGTGAATCAGAAGCCAAATATATTTTATTAAATAACAAAAAAAACATGGTTTTCAGGTGGCATGAAAAACAAAATAGTTTTTGCACATGGAAGTACTTTTTTAAGTAGGGGAGAAGTGTATCTGGGTGCATTGGGAAGAGTTGCGTCAAAGGGACTTGTCTTCAGGGGCCACACAAAGAGCCTTCTGCCCTCTAACCCGAGCTTAATGGAGGGAGGAGACCAAAGGTCATTTGCTTGCCCTTTAGCCTACACCAGTCCCCACGAGGTGGCCCCACGGGAGGAAAGGATTACGTATTGGTATTGCTTTACTTGACGGGGCAGGACTTGGCCCACACACACACACGCTCGCTCGCTCGCTCTTTCAGTGACCAACCGGCGGACCCTGGCACAATGCTGTAAACACGAGAGGGAAGGGAACACTCATTGGCACCCCCACCCCCTCCCACAACAACAGTGTACACACGCAGACTAGGTTTGAAATCCACATCGCGTACGTAAACACCGCATTGCATATACAAAGGCCGAAGTACTTCAGGAGGAGACGCTTTGTACCGAGTCACGTGCACCCGCTCCCACAAAGCTCCAGTGAAACGCGCTCGAACGCTAATAACCTCAATTTAACCCAATTTATTTTTGAAACAATAACATACAAACGGCTAAATGCTTTTTTTAGAAGAAGGTGAAAACAATAAACATTGTTTTGTAAACCTATTTGGACGTTTTCAGGGTTCTGTAGGGTAAAGATTGTATCCCACCTCCAGTCGTCCTATTCGTTCTGTCGCTATGTTTTGCAAAGTCCCACTTCTAAACTAAACTACTTTTTATTATTTTACCTGGTAAGGCCCACTGAGCTGTGTGGCTCTTTTTCAGAAGCGACCTGGCCACAACTGATAGCTCAACAAAGTGGCCTATCACGTGGAAATGTATAGCAGCCAAATAAAAAAAACGACCACTGGGAGAGTAAAACATGCAAACTCCCAAATATGCAGGCGTCAGGGTCAGGGTCGAGATCGAACCCGCTACCTCCTGCATACCAGGCGAGGGAGTTAACATCTCGCCACCGCGGCGTCCAAGTCTATCCATGTGTGAGTACACGTTGAAAATGCGTAATGACAGCAAGTTGAGTTAGATATAAACCAATCACCGTTGAAAAATAATTCACCCATCATGACTGCACAAAGGAAATGGAACAAATTATATCGTGCACAATATTCAAAGCCGAGTAATGGAAATATTGCTATTTTTATTATACTCCATATTGAAAAAATATTCCACTGACGTATGGATGTACATGCCAAGTGGGGAGTCTTCACTTACCCAATGCTACACAAATGCGGAATGCGTGCATCATTGGGCCTTATTTGTCCAACTAAATGGACAAACGAAGGCAACCTTTGCCGGACAGCTTGGGACATTTCTCTCGCTACTCTTAGGATCGCTGATGAGTTGCTTTAGTTTAAGTTGTTGGAACCTCTGGCATTCATACTGAATCGTAATAAAAAAAAATAGTGTGGACTCGTGTGACTTAGGCAACTTGCGGTGACCCAACAGTTCCTAAATACTCTGGAAAGGTGTTTATTTTCCAAATTTTGCTCAAATAATGTTTATTAGTAGTACTATTTACGTGTCCGTGACTTAGAGCATGCATTGTCTCCCACTATGTGCACAATGCGCTATCGCGCTTCAGTAACTTGTATCCTTTGCATAGTATTTAGTTAAGATTATATTATGTTATGTATATTTACTCAGGAAATCCTCTCCGAGTCTCATAACTCTTTTTAAGAGGGTCCTGCCAATTTTCTGTAGATTCACGTGAAGTAATTTTCGGGTGAGAGTCCTCAAATTTGGCTCTTTAACGTTCACTGTTGAGGCAGATGCCATTTGTGTGGTCAATATACACCCACATGCTGGTGTTAACAATACACTGGGTGTTGATAAACCCGGCGCATTCATCAGGGAAGCTGCTCGTGGTCAAACCGGGAATTTCTGCACCAAGCGGCAGACGCACCATCGCTTCGCTGTGTCATCGAATAGGAATTGTTAAAATATAATCGTATGCACGTCAGTACAGGCCAGGTGCTTCCCATTTAATATAGCGCTTTAAATGTGGACATTATGCAGAGATAAAGAAGATAGGGTTACTGATAAATATATATAATCCCCAAATTAATAAACACGTATCTCTATGCGGTAACTGAATGACTGAATGTGAAACACATGTATGTAAATATGATTGGACTGAACATCGGATGCACAGTTTGTCACTGAGGTAAGTGCTGGCATGTTCTTCCGAAAGACAATTGCAATGATGGCTGGAAAACACTAAATCTGTTCATCTTGAGAGGGAGATTGAAGATGCTGAACTTTGTAGCAATAAAGCTCGCACTGGTTCGACATTGCTTTTGCAAAAGGTTGCTACGTAGCCGCCAAGACGCCGTCAGAGGATTTGAAGTTTTGATTATTTCATTGTCGGCACAGAGCAGAGACAGTACCGGACGAATCCAGTGCGGGGCCTGTAGCATATGTTATAAAGGGGCCCTAGATTGTAAATAAATAACACTATATTTTTTTACTTGCTATATAGCCAGATAATATGACAAATCCCTAACCTTAAACACCCAGTCGTTTATAAAAGTTGAAGGCAGTATAGTACTATAGTAATTGAGCAAGTGCAGAATCACTGAACCGGAATTTATAGCTTGAGAGCATTTAGCGCGGGGCCCTTGAAAGTGCGGGGCCCGTAGCTACTATATGTGCAGCTACTTTTGCTACTAGGATAATCCGGCACTGTGTAGAGGGGGCATCTTTTGGGGCTTTGAGGCACGATTGAGGAGGAAGTTGCATGTTTCTAAGGCCTCTTCCATTCTCCTTCTCAACCAAACCTCTTCTAAACAAACACAGCGCTAAATGCAAGGCGAGGTCAGAGATCAAAACTTCTGAACTTTCTCCAGTTTGTCTTGACGGAGTTGAAGTGACATCAGAATGTGGGTTCAACATCACTCTACCACAGGACACGTTGTTTGTTGTTCCCCCCTCCCCACTCTTTTCCTGCTGCACTTTTTCCTCGCTGTATAGCTTTCTCTATCTCCAAGTACATCTATCTTTCCACGATACATTCCGCTGATATGTAGGAAAAAATGTAACCCAGTGTTTTCCGTAACTTTTAAGTGGTCGTATTGTTATACATTCACCCCCTATATTTTGTATGAAAAAAAATTCTCGCCGTGTTTATTTTTGCATGTTTCTACATTCGTTTCATCAACATTCTTTCACCCTGTATTCCGTGTCTCCCCTCCATTCCTCCAGTGTGCCCGAGTTTGGTAACGCTGTGCTGCGGTAGGTTTTACGTGGCTATGCCCTATAGCCAGGGCCAGATTAACCTGCTATATTAATGAGGCCTGAGGCCCCCATATTTTGTAGGCACTCATTGAGGCTCTGCATTTCATCTTGCAGCAACAGCTGAGTGATGGCAGCGGTCCATCGGAATTTTTTGGGGGGTTTTGAATTATGATGACATCATTCGTGACTTTCCCCACAGCAAAATGAAAATCCAGGAATGTTTTCGCTTGTTTTATGAAATGAGCGTAGTTAGTGATTTATGTTTGATAAATGTACCTCGAGTCCGAATACATTTTTAAATGTTTACTTGAATCCGTCCCTGCCTATAACTCTTCGACGTTCGGGTCCTAGCGCGTGTTGTTCGGTACGATGTCCAACGTTTAGCCACACATGCTGGAAGAGATTGATCCTGTGACTTGGACAAGCTTTTCCCTCACCAATGCTGGGGAGGCAAGAGGGGGGGCCTGGAAAGTCCTCACCAAGTACTTGGACCATCTAATTCTTCTCTACACAAATACACAGTGGGACATGTCCACCATACTTTAGTTCCCGTTGCTTTAGTCCATGCAGTTATGTATTCACAACACACACACACGCGCACACGGACAAAAACCACCGCGAAAACAAACACACGCACACAAACTGTTACAACCGCAGCATTTGCAAATGAGACGAATACTTTCAGCTATTTGCTTAAGCCAAATAAACTCGTCTGCTCGACAAAAACTTGAGGAAGAGATGTCGAAGTTTCCGCCTCTGAATAAGGTACAAAAGAGGAAGAATGCGGTGTGCACGTTACATCAAAGTTTATTATTGTTTGTTTTAATTTGCCAATTACAGGGGCAAGAGATTATACGTGGGTAATATGTAGTTTGAGAATAACATCACAGACTTAATAACACATCGGCCTTTGCATGAATAATATACGCTATGCACAGATTCCATATTCTTATTAAAAGAAAAATAACTAACCTTGAATAGCGAACAACATATAAAAGGTTATACACACCACACGCATTTCTTTCAAGTGGATGATTTATTATATTTCCTCTTTAAGTAAATTAGTAATTGTAATGTTTATCATGTTATGTTTAACTCTTACATACATAAGTGATAAAAACACAGACCCACATATGCCTATTGTCTTCTAAGTGATACAATTATCGTTATTATTATTTCTACATATATTTAAATATATGCTAAATGGAAAAGTGATGAACACTGCTCTTTTTTGTCGGTGTTGCCGATTGGCTTGTTTCTGTTCTGTGTCGTTTGATTGGGGCCGAGTAACTCGTAACTGATGTATTGATGAACGGTCAAGACGTTTGCCGACTAAACTGTTGACCCATAATGCCATTGACGATGATTATTTCCTGCGCGACTAACAAACACAGACACACGATATGATGAAGTCGGGGGTGGGTGGATGGAGTGAGAGGGCATTTTGCAAACTCCACTTGAAAGCTTGGGCGAGCCAGCTTTGCATCTCCCGTGCACAAACACAAAACAGGTCATGCCATCGCTACCCACACACACGAGACTTCCCACACCACCGGGCAGCGCAAAGTATCTCGACTGCAATATCACACTAAACTACAAGAGACGGGTTTTAGCCTTTAAATGTAATACGAGACGTAAACTAAAGATTTTGCTGCACATCAACGATTTAACAACAACAAAAATAACAAAGGGAGACAAAACAAATATTTTGATCAAGGCCAGCAGCAGCAGCTCAAGCAAGGTCAACACAGCAGCTTCTGTATGAGAAAAAACTTTATACATTAGCACTGTCTTGCTTTTAATTTATTTAACCGTATAAATTAACACAGTGAGTTTTGTCGTAATAGTAGTAATAAATATACAGTATTATGTACATCTATGCAGTGGGTTGTGTATAAATAATGACCAAAGTCACGACAGAAGAGAGATCGTTGTAAAAAAAAAACTCATCAATATTTTTAAAAACAGAGGCAGCTACAGTACAGTAGATCTGTTGGCATCGTGTGTCCAGCGAATGTTCATGACGTTTTTACCAAATGAAGTATAGCAGCGGAATAAGTCGGTTCCCACTGTGAAAAACCATGAAATATCAACTCGTATGGTTTGAAATGGCACGTACAAATCTGGGTTTTAAAAATCTATAATACGTATTGATTTAAAGCTTTCGTGACTGCAGTAATTCATATTCTTAGCTCTTTCGGTAAAGTCACGTTGAAGGGAAACAATAAAATAATAAAATATATAAAACAATAAAAAGTCTCACGACGTTTCGACCATAACACAAACGGTCGTCATCAGGTGTGTATTATTATTTATTGTTTCCCTTCAACGTGACTTTACCAAAAGAGCTAAAAATATATAATACGTATTTTTGTTTATCGACTTTAGAAAAGAAAATGTATACAATTTAGCGAGATTTATCCGAATTGCGTCATGTTATGAAATTTCTTTTCCGAGGTCTGTGGAAGTTCATAATTAGCAGCAGCCATGTTCAATCCACTGCTGGACGAAGGCATATTTACATGAGCGTAACATGTTCATGTCACCGGCAAAAAATCAAATTTGATTAAGATGGGACAGAGTGGGAAAATATAACATTTTACCACAGTGCCAAAATTGGCCCCATGTACTTATGGATGAGGGACATGTATCAAAGCATAATGCGGGGGTAACCGAACCAGAGACATTTCCCGGTTAGTTCCGACAACCGAACAAATTCGTCTGCTACCATTTACATATTTGCACGCTTCTCAGTGGGAAAGGACTTTGAGGAGAAAACAAACCAAACCTGTTGTATTGTAAAAGTGGCTGATGATCCAATGATGTTCATCGATCGTTGGCAAGCAAAAAAAAATATACAAAAACAGGTACAAAATTATCTCGCAGCAGCAGGATCGGTGAGTCCATGATGGAGAGGTATATTTTTTGTTGTTTTTGACGGAAGATTACTGTTATTACCCATGCACATCAGAATCTAAGTAAACGTCACGACTGATGTTTTTTTTCTGTAGGGAGATATTTGAGACGCACGTCGTCGAGGTGAAGGGAGAGAGAGGAGAGGTTTTGTTGGAAGCAGTCCAAGCTCACTACATGCACGCATCCACCCAAAATATTTTTTTCTTGAAAAAAATTGTTTCGTTCTTTTGTAGCAGCAAAAACAAAGTGACCCAGAGCTTGTGCTTATGCTGTGCAAACTCCGAGCTCACCAGGGAAAAAATAACAAGTCTACGATAAAAACGAAACATAACAGGAAAACAATTTTTACAATCACTTGCTCACTCACACACTCAAAACGGTATTCCTTTTATTTGTCTCTCGGCTAACATTGACCCCTCTTTTTTTCGTTTAACTTGAATGATGAAGTGAACAAACCTCCCACGGGATAGGAGAATGCTCTTAATAGGAAAAGGGATTTGTTGCTGCACACCCCCCCCCCCAGTCCCCCGCCTGTTAACTTTTGCTGATATGTCGTATGTTGGTTGGTGAGTTGCGTGATGGTGTCCGTTACTACCATCACACGTTCACTAAGTCAGCAATACAAAACACAGCGTACATGAAGTAATACGATATTTGTGTGTAAAAAAAAAGATTAAAAAAATATACGTAACAAACAAACTCCAAAAAAGTAAGTACTTCAAAACATAGTGATGAGGTCATTCAGGTTACATCCCCGTTCACGGTTTTTGTACCGAGAATGTAAACCGGCGGTGTGGCAGTGATGCAATCCCGCCAAAGTGTTCCAACGGATATGGGCAGAGCTGAATGTCGCCCGTCGCGGGGCAATCCAATGTGCTACGGGGCCTTTTCAGCTAAAAAGTAAGAAACGAGAAGTCGAAAATGAACGCAAAGAGCAAGAGTGACGAGCAGCAGCAGCAGCAGCTTCGTCATCGTTTGGTTCTTCAATTTTGTCTGCCATGTTTGTGGGGCGGACCATAACAGACGGTTAGCTCCATTACAAAAATAAGCCAGACGCTTGTAGTTTTTTCGTATAAGTTCTGATTTTTTTTTGTCAAAGCAGGCAACTGCAATAGATCAAATCAACGCAGGTGACGATTTTACTTTTTAGCTCGAAGAGGCCCCCCCCCCCACCTCGTGAAACTAGGTTCTGTTAACGTTGTTTCAAAACAACAAAAACGCAGAGGCTCATCTCATTTTGGCATGATAACACAAACGTAGACTTTACATGGGTGCAAAAGTGCAGGCGAAAATAATAAAAAAAGATTCTCAGAATACCGCACTGTGCCATTAAAAGCACTCCTGTGCACAGTTATTGCACCGATAACCAGGCAAGACGATTGCCACAATTGTGCAAGCGTAGCAGCAGCAGCAGCAGACCGCTGCTGCAACATTAAGGTCTTGTGCATGGCACGCTTTTCCGTTTGCACGGTATCCTGTTTCGTGATATTTTCGCAAACAGTATTGAGACGCACGTCACAAGCATGTAAAGTCTGCTAACTGGCAAGAAAGAGAAGCAGCACACATTTGAAGAGAGTGCAGTGCAGAGAAACGATGGCTCGCAGTAATACTACAAAGACGTAGAAGTAGTGCTAGAGCATAGAAGTGCAGTGCAGTATCCCCTCGTTATTGAGAAACTCGCTCTTCGCGATTCTGGCTATCCGCTAATCGCATCCGGCACTCCGCACGACTGCATCGAGAGAAAGAAGTTGAGATAAAGTGATGAGATAATTTTCACGTATGTAATAGCTTCATTACGTGTCAACTTCGGGTAATAATTAGGAAAGATAGGGTGTCGTAGGCCAATGTCGTGCGCGAAATTAGCTTTTCACGAGAATGTTTTTTGGGACGTTTCCCTCACGAATAACGGGAGGGGGAAACACTGCAACAACCTCGTAAAGGGAAACGTATCGTCTCATTTCAAATGTTTTTTCTTCTTAGCTAATATCACTGCTGATGGTGTTTCACTTTAAAATGGCTGCAAAAATTGGAAGAATTTTTTTTTACTTTGCTTACAAATTTGTCTGCTACTATAAAGGTGGGTGGGTGGGGGGGGGTACAGTGTCCCGCTAATGTAGAATGGGCAGCAAATTGAAATTGTTTTGTTCATTTGTTGCATTAGGAATTGATATGTTTACAAAATTTCGATAAATCGCCGTAGGACCAGTCTACGCATCGATATATTGATTGATATCGCAATTTTGGTAGTAGCAATGGGAAATTGATTTTTTTTAATATATTAATGTATACATTTTATGCTTTTTGTACGAGAAACGTATATATTTATATTAAATGTTATAGTTTGGAAATTTCCCCCGAGATTTCTTATTCATGTGGGGAATTCAACAGTTTTTTTTATTTCTATAGGTATACATATCAGATTAAAATATTTAAGCAGCACAAATAGAAATCGAGACAACTTTAAGCACTATTGCAAATATACGCCACAGACTGGCTTTTTTCCCAATACACCATGCTTGCCAAAAGTTGTCCCACAGAGCAGCGTGAGTATACGATATGCATTTTTTTCCTTTCCTTCTTTCATGAACACCACCAAAAACAAAAGTGAGTGGCAATGATGCCGATGCATAGGCAGGAATGCTTGCTTTGGAGGAATGTGGCAGGGTCGAGGCAGAACGCACACTTGTGCGTGGTTCCCCCTCCTGCCCCCCTGGTGTGTAGGCATTGTCGCTGCCCTCCGACGACCTTTCTTCGTGTGGCGCATCCTTTTGACGCGGCGCACGACCGTCCCGACGTTTCGCTCCACGCGAGCGACCGGGAGCATCGGCGACTCGAAGAAGCTCCCGGGCACGTACAGATTTAAAAAAAAAAAAAGAAAAAAAATTGAAACTCTTGGTGTCGACGCTGGCGGGCGGTCGCGCGTTTGCCACATTTGTCGCGCAGGTTCGCGGTTCTGAACCCCCAGCGGCCACCCTGGTTAATACTGCGGGTGTATTGACTGAAAATAGATGCATCGTTTGCTTCGTAGGAGGACGTTAAAGATCCCGTAATGCGATTCATAAGTAGGAAATGTGCGCTGGTGACATGGTCTATATTTGCCAAATTTGTTGCACATCACCTAATTGGCTAAAACCGTGTGGCAATATCACCTCCGACTGACTGTAAAGCAATCGCAGACTATGCTAGTCTGTGAAACAGCCTTGTGCTCCGAGAACGAACGCGCCGCAAATACCAAATGTAGAAACCATTTGATTTGAGTCTTCAAATTCGCCGAGGAAGCTCCAAGCACGTGGAGCGAAACGTCAGACGTGGCCGCTGAACAGCAAGCCGCGCGCGCACTACAACCCGAGGAGCCACCAGAGAGAGCTGCACAATGCACACTTTGTTCAAATAACAATAAAAAAAAACGATGACAAATTTTGACTGAAGTCTGCGGTAAACCAATGCACGGCTTCACGGAGGTTGTGGAAGACATTGTATCGGATAGTTTGTGAGGTCATATTATTTTCAGCGTCCTTGTTCCTGAATGATATGCTCAATTGAAGGCGACTGGTGATGGAAAAATTCCTGAGTTGCTGTTTGCAACGAGGAGGCAGAGCTCATGGCGTCTGTATTTTTTTTGTTTTTTTTTCTGTAAGTTTTTCAGTTTTTTTTCTTTATTGTTTTGTTTTTTGTTTTTTTCGTTTTTCTTAAAAGCTGTCTTTAAATAGGAAATAAAATCTGCGGAACACAAGAGCAGAAGGCGGGGGGGGGGGGGGTGATAGAAAATAAAAACAGGTCAATCTGATCGCATCAAAACACAACGGAGCCACGGCACGCGTCCGACGCGACCTCCACCACGACTCTCTCGTGCCGCGGTGCTTTGCAATGCTGCAGCTAAAGCGCAAGCGGGTGCACGCACTGCAATCGACGGATAAACACACGTGTGTTAAAACAAAATCTCAGAAAATACAAACGAGCATTGATGCAAGTCACGTAATTCTAAAACGAAACTAAAACTAAACAACAAACTGAAACCTTTTTTTTACAAGGATTCATGTCTGCATTAACCACAATACCTGCAGTCAAAATGTAAACAAAAACATATTATGATAATATGATGCATTGTCCTTGAAACTGATTGGTCCACACCAAGGGACGGCTTTCTTTTGAGCCTCAACCCAATTGGTGCTCGACCAGATGACGCCAAAAGGCGTACAGCTCAAAGACAATGCACTATCAAAGTAATGAGGGCTCGGGGTGAGCATCTACATCATTAGACCTCCTTTGCCAGTACCAAAATGTAATAATGCATATATTATCATAGTATGTTTTATGTTTGCATTTTGACAGCAGGTATTGTGGTTAATGCGGACATGAATCCTTGTAAAAAGGTTTCAGTTTTGTTGCCAGAAAAAATGGAAAAACCTATTATTATTACATTTTGGTACTGGCAAAGGAGGTCTAATGATGTAGATGCTCACCCCGAGCCCTCATTACTTTGATAGTGCATTGTCTTTGAGCTGTACGCCTTTTGGCGTCATCTGGTCAAGCACCAATTGGGTCGAGGCTCAAAAGAAAGCCGTCCCTTGGTGTGGACCAATCAGTTTAAAGGACAATGCATATATTATCATAGTATGTTTTTTGTTTGCATTTTGACTGCAGGTATTGTGGTTAATGCAGACATGAATGCTTGTAAAAAAGGTTTCAGTTTTGTTGCCAGAAAAAAAGGGGAAAAACACTATTATTACATTTTGGTATAAAACTAAACAATTTTTTATTTTACCAGGTAAGTCCCACTGAGCTATATCGCTCTTTTTCAGAAATGACCTGGCCACAAATGAAAGCTCAATGAAGTGGCTTATAATGTGGACGTTTAAAGCAGCTAAATACTCCTAAGCGTATGTTTCTAAATGTGGAGGGAAAAACTAGAGGACCCAGACAAAAATCCACACGGCCACGGGGACAGAGAACCTGCGATCACCAAATATCCAGGCGTCAGGGCTGCGGTTGCATCTACCACCTCTTGCATACCAGGTGAGGGAGTTAACATCTCACCACAGCGGTGCCCCTGCACGGCACCGCAGTGAACGCAGGGTGGAGGCTCTTTGCTTGACGGGGTGTCCGGTACGAATAAGGTCAAGGGCTGCCGGTGCTGAGGTTAATCTTTCCTCTCACTAAATCTCAAGTTTGCCCTGTTGATCCCCATGACATTGTGCTGTGAGCATTGGTGGCGCTAGGCCCAAGAGAAACCCACCAAGTAAAGCTCAGGGGTCCTCCCCTCCCCACCCCCAAGCAGCTTAAGGGGTCCCCGGATTCATTAAAAAAGAGGTGTGCATTACATATCATCCTCAAGTAAAAATTTTAATCAAGATGATAACTAATTTAATATCTGGAAATCTCTGTCGTGTCTGCAATTATCTTCTCTTGCCTCACCAAATCCGTATGTCTCCATTTTTATTATCTGAAAAATTGTAATATATTTCTCCTCTACATAATTTCTGTCATCTCAATGTATCCCTTCAAAGTTGCCCTCGCCCTAAAATAATGTCTACTCATACCCCCGCCCCCCTCACTCGTAGGCTTGCACCACCGCGAGTTGTGGTCACGCAATTATAATTCTTTTTTCCCCCCAAAGCAAGCAAGCCCGTTGTTTACTTGCGTGCGGATGCGAAATATATTCTAGCGAGGACAGAAAGTCATCGTGGCCAAATAAAGCTCGCGCAGTAAACAGAGCGGGAGGGCTCTGTCACCACCTGGGCCAAATAATTCGTCCCCTTTACAATCCAACGGGCACAACACCAGTTCCTGCGAGCTGCATTAAATTTCCAAAGAAACAGAACGTTCTTTGTGGCACGACTACTTCACAGCGTCGGAGTTAGCTGCTTCTTGTGCTCCAATCGATCCCCCCCCCCCCTTGTTTTTCTGCGCGTTAGCGACGTCTATTGTGCCATGATGTAATCGTCTCTATTTTAATTCAATTGCATAATTTTCATTTTCTTTGGGGGGCGGAGGGGATAAAACATATACTGTACGTGATTTGGGGTGGGGGGGAAGATAGAGCACGTGCGTTTACAGTTGTTATAGTCCGTTACATAATCTTTGCCGAGCGCCAGGCGTGTCATGATTGCTGTCCTCTCTCCGGCGATTCAATGGTGATGATTCTGTCGCATTTCAAGGAGTGAATCAATTCTCTTTCCTCTAGGGTTTTTTGCCGTCTCAGCTTGCCTCGTCTGTAGAGTTTTGCTCGCCCCCCCTTTTAGTCTACGTATCGAATTGGCATTTAATTTGCATCAACGCTAGACAATTGATCCTCACGTTCACAGTGTGAAGATTGTATCACGAGTGTGGGCATTAAATACACTCAAGGGCACAGCAGTGGCTAGATGTTAACTACCTCACCTGGTATACAGGAGCACGTGGGTTCGATCCCAAACCTGACTCGTGTACATTTGGAGTTTGCGTGTCTCTTTTCCCGTGGTCGCGTGGATTTTTCTCTGGGTCCTCTTGTTTTTATCTCTCCACATTTAGAACCAGCATCACGCGTTTGGAGTATTTGGCTGCAATAACTTTCCTCGTAGTAAGCCACTTCACTGGGCTATTTGTGACCAGGTCGCTTCTTAAAACTATCTATATAGCTCAGTGGAACTCACATGTGTAAATAAAAAAAGATTGTCTATAGTTTGTATCGTTACATGTACACCGAGTCGGTTCGCGATTTACATCTCAACTGCTAATATTACCAAACACACAAAGGTGTGCTCGCTTGCAGCAGGAAGGCACGACTCGCATCATGCCTTGCATATTGCATACACAATGCTCTCAGCCTTGATTAAGCCACCAGCCCAAAAGTGCTGGAAGTGTCATCACCACTCGCACAAAGTGTTGGATTTCAACCGCTAATACAGATGACACTCAGTTCCCAACGGTCGTGAAACTTAAGATGGCCATTAGAGGGAATTCATACGAAAATACACACAACGTAAAGTTTGTTTCCGGACAGAAATAAAGGCAGGTACTGGTCATAAACTGTCTTTTTTGCTCCAATAAGTGGCATTTGTTTGATCGAAAAATATTCTGGGGAAACGAGATGAATAAAAAAATATATACTCTTCCAGAAAAACGTATCCTTCTCACAAACAAAATAAAAATGTTCGCTTTATGTTTTAATACGTGATGGAGTCCATCCAATTACAGTCAGAAATGAGACGCTGCTATAAACACAACGCATGAATCGCAGCTTTAAATGCCAAGGAGTGGCTGTGAAAAACAATTCTGTTTTGGAATAGGGCTAGGTTACCCAACTTATAAAATAACGGCCACCCTCACTCCACCAATGGGTGATGGCCTCGCCACGCCGCATGGGCTCATGTGGGACCCATGATCATACCTCACCATGACGCCGAGTGAGGGTTGTGCTTGATGAACGATGGGGAAAAGCAAGACCGGTTCTGATGTCACTCGCCACTAATACTAGCCATGGCCTGGAGTCGAACTCGGGATGCCCGGGCTCAAGAGCACAGCGCAGAACTCTAAATCGCCGTGCTACAGCTCTACACCACTCGGCTTGTACGCAAGCGTGCGTAACGGGTTGACCGAACCGAGTATAACTTGTACTCCGTAACGGGAATCCAGCAACAAGTAATACCCAGTGATAGAGAGTGTAGTGATGCAAAGTGCAGAGAAAAACTTTTACCAGCAGCAGCAGCAGTGATGCTTGGAATGCCCCCCCCCCCCCAACTCCACCCCACCTCCCCCCCCTGTTGCCCCCCCCCTATCGGAACCCTCCTCCCCCAAGGCGCGCCCGCCGCTTCTGTGCATTCTCTTTAGCGGAGGGGTCGCGACAGGCACACTCCTTCTTGCGGTCACAATTGTCTGGAAAGGTGATCACCTGCACGGATACAAAAAGAACACACACACACACCACACACACCACACACAAGACACGTACAATTGATTAACTCTTTGAGTGTAAGCCAGGCCTATACGCGTGCACACGAAGGCGAAGATCCCCCGTGTAGCCTACAGTGGCGTTGGTGAGCACAGGGCAGGCACGGCACGGCCACCTTGGCCAACTCGTGTGCGGCCAGCATCGCGTCCTGCCGCCTTTGTCTCTCCCCGGGCTTGTCAGTGCACGGCGGTAATCACTGCCGCCGTCTCTCCCCAGGGGTGGGTGCGTGCGTGCGCGCGTGTGTGTGTACAAAGCAAGGATCCCGCAAATAGTCAACACAGAATCGCACTAACACCCACAGTTTGGGCACTTCGGGACAATCGGCCTTATAGATACCCGACGAGTATAATGAGGAGAAATTAGAGGGCACAATCACGTTTGACTTCAGCGCCTCAACCTCAATACACGTGATACATCTTTTAACACTCCGCTGTAGGATATGGAGAACAACAAGTGTAGGATCTCGGCGACCTGCGCTCAAACGTATCGCCGGCGAGGACAAGCGTCTGAGCCTACCCCTCTCGCCTGAGGCTAAACGAAAGGTCAACTCACCTGAAATCGAGTGCCCGCTGCATTGCGTGACCCCCAGTGCAAAAGGTGGCCAGGTGTGGGAGCCGGGCTTCTGTAGGCCATCTTGGAACGCTCTTCCTTTCGATATCAGGCAGTCACCGGGAGCTATGCACTTTTAAATCGTGAAAACTCAAGTTCTTAAAAAATGCTTTTTATGTTAAGTTTGTTGTCTTTCTGCCGCACCTGTGAATAGCACGGTCGGCTAGGTAGGGCGCAAAAGCAGTTTAACGTACGTACGTACGTGCGAACTACGCTAACCTTACCCGGTGTTCGCCAAAGGCACTTGCCTCGACCGTTTGCAACAATCGCACGGACCGGGGGATATTTGTCTATTTGCTGCATGTGCACGCACACTTTTACAGGTTTCTAACTGCATGGGTGGGGAGGGGGGTTATCCGCGACATTGACTCCGCTAATCCGTGAAGTGAAAATAATAGGAAGCTGTTCCGCAAAATCAGCAACAGGGAGAAACCGCAGACGATTGTGGATAATAGGAAGAATATGGCCGCGGATAACAGGCGTTTTCCCCGGGACCCTACAACTTCCCACGGATAAAAGGAGCTGAGGGGGTAACAGGGACACGGATAAGAGGAGCTTCTCCTGCATGGACCTACAGGCCACAACAAGAACATTTCAGGAAATTCCACCGCAGCCCTGTGGCTGCTTTTGGCAAGGATCCCGACGTGAGTGCCGTCGTTGCGCGCGTCACCACGTGGAATTCTTGTGAACTTTTCTGTCTTCCCCTGTGAATGTAAATCTAGAGGGGTGCCGCTGTGGTGTAATGGTTAGCACACGGGACTTGCAATCCAGGGGTTGCTGATCCGATCCCTTCCACCCCCCCCCGCCTCCACCACCACCAGGCCCCCTTGCTGCAGTTGAAACAATGAGGCAAAATCTTGACCTTAAGCTTTCGTGACTGCAGGAATTCATATTCTTTGGGGCTTTCGGTAAAGTCACGTAGATAGGTTCAAAGATAGGTTCGTGACTTTACCAAAAGACCCAAAGAAAATGAGGCTAAGTTTCTGAAATCTCCCCCACGCAGTACAAATGGCTGGAGCACCATGGTCAGTCGATCGGCAGTTTGCCAGCTGCCGAGATCTCGCGCAGTGTGTGGGGGGGGGGGGGGCCTTCCTCGAGCAGTGAGCAGACCACGAGGTGTTCCAATGGTCCGCCTCTCCCACCTCTTCCAAGACGTCTGGCGGGCGTGGAAGACGAGGCAAAAATACCCTCCGAAAAAGAGGCTCTCTGGAGCTCCGTCGAGCAGGGCTGCGACATCGCGTTTGCCAGCGGTAAATCTGCACTCGCCCAAAATTCTCAATTCCGGCACCACTTTCTGCAAGTGATGAGAAACCCATGGCAAGAGGAAAATGTGAGCAGGCTCGAAACGAATTGATTTAACAGCGCACGAAGGTGCTCTCACAAAGGCACTGCTTGTGAGCAACACCCGTGTGTGTTGTTAAATTTATTTGTCCACCCAAAATGTGTTGTGCGACTCGAGCCTTTGTCGTTTTGTCATCTTTCCCACAGAGCCTCCTCCTGTCTCAAAGCATTCCGAGTGAGGTGGTGTACATTTTGTTACATCAACATCTGAGTTTTTTACCCAACCTTGCCAAGTCCATAGACATAATAGAGCACGGTTAACGAGCAAATAGAGATAATAAAGTCAGGAGTGTTTGAGCCTTTGTGCGCGGCTTTCGCATAATATATTTTCACTTGGCCGCAGGACAAGTTTACGAAACGGATGTGCATCATACACCGCTGTTGACGAAGGTCACCGAACATTAGGCGTTTGAATGATACAGTCAGAATTAGTTGCACCAAAACCCATAACCGCAGTGCTTAACTGTAACCCCTTGGTAAGTTTCATACAAAGTTCATAACATTTCTATACTCTTCAGAAAGAAAGGATAATGTTGCTAATTGTGTTCCTATTGAAGTAACATCTGCTTTCGTGAAAGGCACTGGAGGCTGCAGACTATGGGCTTCATTTTTGTACCAGATGTGGCCAGTCTATTTTAAGAAGCAAACCCCTCCAATATTTACCAAAAGGTACGAAAGCCGCTCTTAAGTAGATGAGCCATAAAGGCTAATTTTGAGCACATGTCAGACGATGTGGCACGTCACAGAGACACATACCAAAAGGAAAACTGGTCCAGGAAAAAAAATGACAGTTGAGGATAGATTCTCACCAAAGAACGCTCCAGTTCATACGCTCTTCAGTATTGTGAAATACATTGCTTGCGTTTAGAATAACAATTTATTTTGGCATTCTTGTGTTTGAAAACTCAAAATTCCATTTTTGACTGACAAAAGACCATGCGGTTTTTTTCATTTTGGCCGATTTTTCCATCTGCTCAAAACAGGTTTTAAAAATGTTTAAAATTGAATTACGGGCAGACGGGTTGTACAAACAAAACTTCAAATAAGAAGAATTCTATCGTTCAAAATAAATGCGCACAATTTTGCCGTGATTCTTTATTGATTGCACAAACCCTCGTGTACCTCCCAAGAGAAACATTTCTCTTTTTCTTGCCAGTGAGGTACGACAAATCCCCACAAGATGAAACAAATGCCATTTCAATAAATCACCGTGAGCTTTGGGCACGCGGGAGGCAGTCCCGACAGTTTAGGGACCCTTCCTCTTTTATCTTCAAACATTTAAAGAACACCTTTACACACGTGTCCATCGGTCCCGCCTGTAAACAGCCACCGCAGGGGCTGTTGTGCAAAGGCAAATCACCAGCCAGTGCTGCGGCGGCATCCTCTCCTTGCGCTGTTTTACAGCAGGTGCGGAAAGAGTTCTTATGTGAAGGGTTACTCATCAGACGTATTCCAAATTTGAACGGGGAAATTAAAAAAAGGGGGGCAAAATTCTTGAAGCATTACAGTGTCCGGTGGCACACACTGCAGGCATACATTAAGCATCGAAACACATGCTGGCTTCAGCACGGACAAGGGGGCAGCCGAAGGAACGAAGGTAGGAGAAAGCGAGGTGGGGGCGGGGAGTAAAAGAAAGAAACGGAGAGAAGATGTGGAAAATTAAAAGCAGAGAAGGCAAAAGCGACCAAAGTCAATTAATTGAAATGGATGTGGTGATAGGGGGGCATGTGCACAGAAGTGAAAAAAAGCATTGCCTTTACATTTTGTTCTGCTCAGGTTGCCACTGAACTCACAATAACTTGGAATTGACTATACAAAGATCCCCCCGTGTAGCCTTAACGGACTGTATGGGCAAGTGCTATTAGCGAGCACCTATGAAGGCCGGCACGGCACACGAGGGGGTGGGTGGCTAGCAGCACGCCCGGCCGCCTTTGTCTCCCCAGTGGCGATGTTTACACACCACACCAGATACTCATTTGAGGCTGAGTCGACCTGGGGGAGGCCCAGGACCGGTACAGATTGTCGTCACTGGTGTTGGCCATGAGCGGGAATCGAACTCGGGTTGCCAGGTTCGTAGCGCAGCACGTTATACACACATACACACACACACTTGTCAACTGGACAAGTAGGCCAAAAAACGAAATGGACCCCCGAAGGTTGAAACTGAAAGCAAAAACTGTAGCATACGAGGCTAAAACACGCGCAAAAAAAAATAAAGAAACAAACATTGAACGAATAGGACAGGAATTCCCAATAAACTGCGGGGTGGGTGCCGGGGGTGGTGGGTCGTGGGGAAGCGGTGTTCATTTGACATTTAGAAACACGCATTTAGATTACTTTGATTAGTATCGGTCTGCGTTTCCACGTGATACGCCACCATCGTTGAGCTACCATTTGTGGCCAGGTTGCTTCCGTAAAAGAAGCTAAATAGCTCAGCGGACCTTACCTGGTAATATGACGGGAAAAAAAAGTTTCGTTTTTGTTTTCGAGATTCGCTAACCTTTCCTATACTTTGCACTCCTATCGTGTTCACAAACTCTTTGTTGTCGCAACTTTCTGACCCCCACCCCCTCCCTCCCCCTGAATGACCATCTGCTTGAAAAGAGCCTCGTGTCTCTTTTTCGGATTTCCATCCGGCATGAATAAAGATCGTGAGTCTGTTGAGAGAGGCGACGGCAGGAAGAGAATGGGAAAAGTGTGCACGAATAGAAGCGAGCTCAACATTTCCTCCTCTCCCTCCCCCCCCCCTCCTGGGTGCCCCAGTGTAAACGCGAGGTATTTTTTACTACCACCAGCCCCTGCCTGCCCTCCTTTTCCTGACCCGAAACGGCGGTAAAATTGTAACGCGTTTC